TTTTTTTTTTTTTTTTTTTTTTTGGCACTGGGTATTGAACTCAGTCCTTGCACTTACAAGGCAGGCGGTGGAACCATTGAGCTACATCCCGGGCTCTGTCTTTCTCACTGTGTGTCTGTTTGCTCAGTCAGGCCCAGCTGACCTGGCTGAGGTATTGGCACTGCCACGTTATTTTTTTGTCTTGTTAAAAAACGCCCATTTGCAAAACTGAGTCACAAGCTGCCACTTCTCGGTTTGTGTGCAGGTGCGCAGTCTGAAGAGGCGGGTGATGGATGACTTCATCACCCAGAACAAGTACCTGCTGGTGGCCAGGCTCAGCAGCCAGAAGCTGTTCCACGAGCTCTGCCCCGTGAAGCGGTCTCACCGCCAGAGGAAGTAAGCACGTGAGACTCGCCTCTGCTGGCCTCGGCCAGAGCGGGTTAGAGCCTCACTCACCGACGGACGGCTGTGGGGAGTTAGTCCTGGGAATCAGCCTGGCCCAGCACGTGGCACTTCAGAAGAGACCGAGACGGGGGACCGGCACCAGTGTCAGCCCGACCGGGTCCTGGAGAGGCAGAGAGTTGTTGCCATCCCTGCTGGAGCAGCGCAGAGGGCCAGGCAGCAGCGTGTCTGAGTGTTAAGGGATTAGCTGGTGACTCAGGGAAGTAGGTGGAGAGTTACTGTGCCATTCCTAGAAAGTTTGGAAATTCAAGGAACTCATCCATTACGCCTTTTTCAGACTAGTAATCAGTAGCTTTAACTTTAGGGCTATTTTATGTGTAAAAGGTAATCTGGATAGGGAAGGAAGATATATTGGTATTATTTGAAAATACCGTTATGTACGTTTGAAATAACTTCCCCATTTCCATACTTTTCCAGTTGCTTTTTGCAGTCCAAGAGAGAACAAAGACAGACTCTGTCTTTGTCAGCTGGGCCTGGTGGTGCACTGCTGTGATCCCAGCACTCGGGAGGCTGAGGCAGGAGAATTGCTACAAGTTCCAGGCCAGCCGGGGCTACATAGTGAGACCCTGTCTCAAAAAATAAAAAAGAAACCAGGCTTTCATTAGATTAAAAGGAATATCCTAAATAAGAACTGAAATGTATAATGGATTTGGGAAATAGGAAGTGTTCAAATGGGAGGGGAACAGGGAGGGGAGAGGGAAAGAGGAAGGGAGGGACAAGGAGATAGAAGGAGAAATGGAAACAAAGGAGGGAGGGCGGGGCTGAGGGAGGAAAGGGGTAAAATAAATTTTACTTTAAAACTTGGACACCATCACTCCTGCCAAGAACAGCACAAAAATCCTAGCCAGGCATGGCGATGCACACCTGTAATCCTGGCACTCAAGAGGCCGAAGCAGGAGGATCGCCACGAGTTCAAGGCCAGCCTGGGTTACATGATAGTCTAAGGCCGGCCTGGGACACCAGGGCAGCTTCCTGCTGGTCTTTCCCGGCCCTGCCCTCCGCTCCCGTGCTGTGCCCACGCAGCCTTTACCATCGGTGCACCCCAGGTCATTCTCCCCCACGCCCCGCGTCTGTGGCTCACGGTGCCCGGGTGCTCTCATAGCGCAGCCCGCTGCGCCAGTGTCCCCCTCGGGTGACGTCCGGGATCCGCTATCCGTCGGCTCGGGACTCCACCCCACACTGGCCTCTGTCCTTGCTGTTGCCTGTTAGTCCGTGGCTCCCGTATCTCTCATCTGTCTTCCCCATGGGGAAAACTGGAGGGAGGTCACCGACTGATGAGGTGAAAGCTCCTCTCCTTCGAGGCGGCAGCTCTCCCCTGCAGCCCTGTGAGCCAGCCTTCCCTCCGCTGCCCTCTGTTGGCTGTGGTGGATTCTTGTCCCCCCGGGCTGGTTATGGAACCTCCCCTTGCCCTCCTGCAGGTACTGCGTGGTCTTCCTGACCCCCGAGGCCACAACGCTGAGCGAGCCCTTTGAGGCTTTCCTGTCCTTTGCCCTGGCCAACAAGCAGGACACGGTGAGGTTCGTGCACGTCTTCAGCAGCCGGCAGCAGGAGTTCGCCGGCTCCCTGCTCCCAGACAGTGAGGCGTTTCAAGGGAAATCAGCGGTGAGCCCGTTCTCTCCTGACCCTCCCTGGGGCTGGGGGTGCAGCTCAGTGCGGAGAGCCGGCGTGGTGAGGCCCTGGGTTCCATCCCCAGCACGGGAAAAATAATAAAGCTCAGCTTTGATTTTGTCATCATCTTGGTAATGGAAAATCCCTCTAAAACCCTAAGTTTTGTTATTATAATTTTAAGTCAAAGGTTATAGAACAAAGTCTTTTTTTTTTTAGTACCAGGGATCAAACTTGTGCTTGCGAAGCAGGAGGCGGCACCACTGAGGAGCAAAAAGTCTATTTAAAAATTAATTTAACTTTTTCAAGAGCCTTGGAAAATCACCATAGAAACAGTTTCTTTTGAGCCAGGTGTGATGCTGCACACCTGTAATCCCAGTACTCAGGAGGCAGAGGCAGGAGGGTCACTGTATGTGTGAAGCCAGCCTGGTTTACCTAGTGAGTTGATGGCCAGGCTGGACTACATAGAGAGACCCTGTCTCAAAAACAAAATTCCTGAGCCTGGGGATTTAGCCTTGGGGTTTCACCTCCTGCCTCAAGGACAAGGACCTGAGTTCGATCCCCGTTACAAAAAAAAACAAAAATTCCTTTTGGAAAGCTGAGTCAGGAGGATTGCTTGAACCTGGGAGATGAAGGCCTGCTTAGCATCATCATGAGACCCTGTGGCCGGGGATTTAGCTCAATGGTTCCAGTGCCTGCTTTGCAAAGCGCAAGGACCTGAGTTCAATCCCTGGTAACAAAAAAAAACTGAGACTCTGTGTCATGAGTGAGTGGGTGGACAGACAAACGCAGGCCGGAGCAGTAGGACACACAACGCCAGTAACTCACAGGGCAAAGCAGATCCCAGGTCAAGGAAGCCTGGGTAACTTAGTGAGACCTTGTCTCAGAATAAAAATGAAAAGGGCTGAGAATGTAGCTCAGTGTCTGGGCACTTGCCTAGCTTGTGTGAGGCCCTGGGTCCCATCCCCAGTGCTGCAAAACGCTTTTGTCAGGAGGATTTCAATCTCTTCCATGGACCGGGGATTTAGCTCCGTGGTTCTGGGGCCTGCCTCGCAAGCGCAAGGTCCCGAGTTTGGTCCGGGTACCGAAAAAGAAAAATATTTTAACAACAACCACCACCACAAAATTCTCTTCCAAGCATTTTAGACTCTTCAGCTATTTATGTTGGAGCTTGTTACTGGCTTCATGAGAAGCCTTTTGTCCATCCTCCCTGGAGAAAAAACCACTTCTGATGGCTTTCCCCTCCCCAGGTGTCTGTCTTAGAAAGGCGCAACACGGCAGGAAGAGTGGTGTACAGGACCCTGGAAGAGCCCTGGACCGGCAGTGAGAGGGATAAGTTTGTCCTCCTGGGCTTCCTCGACCAGCTGCGCAGGGACCCAGGCCTCCTGGCGTCCGAGGCCGTGCTGCCAGACCTGACGGACGAACTTGCCCCGGTGAGCCTGGGCAGCCTGCGGAGCCCCGGGGTCCCAAGGTTCCGCAGCTCCAGGGGCCAAGCTGACCCTGCTCGGGTTTCCGTCTCCACAGGTCCTTCTCCTCCGATGGCTCTACTCCGCCTCTGACTCCCTGGCCGACTGCTGGGACGTCCTGTTTCACAGTAACTGGTAGGAACCCTGGGAGTGTGGGGCTCTCTCCCCGCGAATACCACGTCACCGAGTGCCCTCCGAAAGAACCCATTCTGCGCTCGTGCGTGCCATGTGCATGCCGGCGACTGCCCCCTTCCTCCTTTCAAGGGTTTCTTTAAGGGGCTTGCGGGGGCTTTTTTCTTTCCTCTTTTGGTGACAAGAGTCGAACTCAGGGCCTCGCGCGTGGCAGGCAGGTGCTGCAGCACTGAGCCACGTCCCTGGCCATCCCCTCTCAGTACCCACTGTTGTTGTTTGCCGACCGCCCCTCCCACCCGGCTGGGGCCCTCAGCGCCCCGCACAGGGAGGCCGGCGTTCAAATGCAGAGGAGCGGGCAGAGGGGACACCTCCCGCCCCGCGCCCCAGTGGGACGGTCGCCCCTCATGTCCGTCTGCGACTCCAGGAGTCTGGCAGGCCCTGCGTGGTGTCGGTGGTTGAGCAGAGCCTTAGAAGAGCGGTCCTGGGAGAGGCCTTGAAAGCCTGGAATCCGCTGCTCTGGCTCGGGACCTCATCTGGATTATTCCGCCCCCCACCGAAAGATTAATAAAATCGAGGAGATCGTTCCACAGACATTTTAGTCCCCGATACCTCAACATCAGAAAATGTTCCCGTGTTTACAGCTTTAAGCCCTTTGTTGTACCTGCTATCAGCTCACCGCCTTCTGCAGATTTATTTAGCGTAGCCCATTACATACCAAGGAAGAAAGCCAGACTGTAGAGTAAGCGACCTGAGAATTGGGCACGAATAAACGCAGTCGCTCTCTCCCGCCACACCCCAGCAAAGCCGGTCACTGGTACAGCGGTGTCTGTTTCGGGGTGAAAGTGGGGGAGTGGTGTTTCTCCTCTGCTTCGGAGAGACATCAGCAGTGGCTGGAGCTCACAGCTGCACGCTTGTTTCCAGGCGGGAGATGATGCCCTTTCTGTCCCTGATCTTCTCCGCCCTCTTCATCCTCTTCGGCACCGTCATCATCCAGGCTTTCAGGTGGGCGCCCAGGGCTGCGCACGGGGAGCCCCGAGCCACCAGTCCCTGACGGGTGCGCGTCTGGGGGAGGGCGTGGTGGACACACCTGTCCTCCCGCCACTTGGGATGTCACGGGCAGCCCAGGCCGTGACCCTGTGTCAAAGCCAGTCTTTTCTTTCTTTAGTAAAACTTTTTTTCATTCTTCAGCGAGTCCAGCGATGAGCAAGAGTCACACCCTCCGGATAAAGAGGAGGTTCCTGAGAAGGCTGGGAAGACGGAGCCGAGCTTCGCCAAAGAAAGCAGCAGGTTTCTCTGACCCTCTCCACGCTCACCCGCCCTCTGCACCTGTCCTGAGCACACGGCCAGCAGGGCAGCACGGGTCTGTAGTGAGGAGAGGGTAGAGGGCTACGCCTCACCTCCCTCCCGCAAGACAAGAGCACGGGTTAAGCATCCCTAATCTGAAAAGCCGAAATGTCAGATGCTCCAGAATCTGAAATTGCCGTGAACGTAACCCACCAGTAGAGCGTTCCACACCTGACCTCACAGGACAGGTCACAGCCAAAAGATGCAGGCGCACTAAAGCTACTCTGTGAAATTATCCGGCTTGGTGACACACACCTGTAACTCAGCACAGGAGGCTGAGGCAAGGGGTTGCCAGAGTTCAAGGCCAACCTGAACTACATAGGGAGACCTGTCCAAAAAAAGGAAAGGAATTACCTTCGGGCCACGTGCATAGGTGTGCTTGAACCATACACGAGCTTCACATATAGACTTGGGTCCCTCTCTCTCAGGTACCTCACTGTGTAGATGAAACAGTAAAATCTTGATTGCGAGCATGACTGGTTCCAGAAACATGCTCATAACCCAAAGCACTTGTGTATCAAGGCAAGTTTCTCTGTAAGAAATAGTGGAAACTCATTTGACAACCCAAAAATATTCATAAAAAAAAATGATTACTAAAAAAAAAAAAAAAAAAAGATTACTAACCAGGTGTAGTGGCTCACTCCTGTAATCCGGCACTCAGGAGGCTGAGGCAGGAGGACTGTGCAAGTTTGAGGCCAACCTGGGCTCCTTAATCAAGGTAAGCATTTACCTTTGAAGACCTTCGTGTGAGGGAGACGAGAGAAGGGTCATTGTGTAGGACAACTCTCACTACCACTAATGAGAACGCTGCTTTGTTTTTTTTTTTCCCCCTCTTGATACTGGGAATCGAACTCAGGACCTTGCACTTGCCAGGCAGGCCTGGCAATACTGAGCTGAATCCCCAGCTCTGATAACACTGCTATCTCTTGGCTCAATGGAATCTTTTTCTTTTTGTGCAACTTTAACAAGGAACTTTTACTTCCTTTTGAGGATTTCGAGGAAATGTAATGTTGCATTGTCATTAAACAGATTCGTCACTCACACCGCTATGGCTTTATTCAGTGGTGTTTTCCTCGCAGTTTTACACCATGTTGCACATCGCCCTAATCTCATTGGCAGTGAGGGATCCCTCCACCTTTTTCTCCTCCACAACTTCTTGCTGTGGAGAGTCGATCACCCACAGTCCCCCAGCGAGAGAGACAGAGAGAGGAACCACTGGCTCAGTTGTGACCATGGGGCGTTCAGCGTCCCTCACTACTTGTTTTGCAAGACATCACTCACTTACCAAGCCAAAATTCGTTTGCTCGTCTTCCAGAACACTCGCAGAATAAGTCACTTGCAATCCAAGGTTTTACTACATTCCAAAATGTGAGGGAAAAGCCTGCAACCCAAAACACTCCTGGTCACAAGCATTGCAGGTGTTCAGCTGCAGCGTCTGCTCACCTTCCACCCGTGGCTTCCGTTTCTCAGTCTCAGATGAGGTAGTGTAGGCAGCCAGCCCAGAAGCGTCTCGGTGTCACGTCACTGCCGCTCCTGTGTGCCCGTGACTGGGCAGAGACAAGGGAACCAGGTGGAGTGGCCCTTGGCACCTTCCTCCTGTCCGAGGCAGGTGAAAAGCAGCGAGAGAGGGCTGTTGTAGCCGGGCTTACCTGCCAGTCGGGTGGCACCGTCCCCCCAGAGGGAGTGAGTAGCGAGCATCCCCTGGTCTTTAGAGCCCAGCGTGTGCTCCGCTCGTGCCTTCCTAAAGCAGTGGCGTCCGCCTCTCCCGACGCCATCTTAACTCCTCCGTTTTTCCGCAGCAAGATTCCTAAAAAAGGTTTTGTGGAGGTCACGGAGCTCACGGACGTGACGTACACCAGCAACTTGGTCCGCTTGAGGCCGGGCCACATGAACGTGGTCCTCATCCTGTCCAACTCCACCAGGTCCACCCTGCTTCAGAAATTTGCCTTCGAGGTCTACACGTTCACTGGGTAAGCGTGTGGTGGGGGACAAACACGCACTTCTGGGTCCTTATGGGTGAGGACTGTTGCCCCCTCTCCTCCGTGGCCATTTGGGGCTTATCCGTGCAGCCATCTGATGTCAGCTGTGTCCTTCCCAGCGCCGACATCTGAGCCATCAGGAGGTGGGGACCCCTTTGCCCGTGTGACCTTCACATGCCTTGGTTGTGGACAGAAGAGCTTGACCTCCGTGTTACTCCCCCAGCCCTGTCAGAACACGGACTGTCCCCAGCTCGTGCCTCTTCTTGAGGCCGGACACTGAGGGTGACCCAGTGCTGCTGGCAGGAGAGGCCGTGGACGGGGAGAGGGACGTGGCTGTCACGGAGGCCGGCTGGCCCCCAGAAAGCCCGTGTGTTCGGCCTCTGTCACGCAGAGCCCGTCCCCGTCACCTGGCAGCCAGCCGGAAGCTGTGTCCCGCGGTAATGTCTCGCTCTGCCGTGCAGGAGCGGCAGCCTGCACTTCTCCTTCCTGAGCCTGGACAAGCACCGGGAGTGGCTGGAGTACCTCCTCGAGTTCGCCCAGGACGCGGCCCCGATCCCGAACCAGTACGACAAGCACTTCATGGAGCGCGACTACACCGGCTACGTACTGGCTCTGAACGGCCACAAGAAATACTTCTGCCTCTTCAAGCCCCAAAAGACAGCGGACGAGGAAGAGGCCACGGGGTCCTGCGGTGATCTCGGCGAGGCTCGGGGAAAAGCTTCTGGGGGCCCCGGCCCCAGGCCCATCAAAGGGAAGCTGAGCTCGCTGTCCCTGTGGATGGAGCGCCTGCTGGAAGGGTCCTTACAGAGGTTCTACATCCCGTCCTGGCCAGAGCTGGACTGAGGGTCTCCGGAAGAGCTGTGAGCTCTCCAGGTTTTTAACTGCTCTTCGGAACAGGTATCGGCAGGACTCGGCTGTCACCATGAACAGAGTGTAGATTTTAGATCACTTCCAGCACAGAGGCAGACGAATCTCCTGTGTCCCGGAGTGACCACACCACAGGCTTCACGTCCCTACATCAAAATCTTTCTTTTCCCTCTGGGGTTTTCTGTCCTCATTTGAATGCCTCACCGCTTAAACGGACTGCTGTGGTCCCTCCCGTTTGTTACCTCTCCCGGCCCGGCCCGGCCCGGCCTGTCACCCACGTCGCGCGGCCCTTCCCCTCCGCCCACCCGGGCCCTGCCGCGCGTGCTGCACACACAGCCGGCGCCTCGAGAGGCCTCGCTCCGAGCGGTCCCCCTGGAGTGGTCCCGGGTGAGCGGCGAGCAGTACATCTCGGGGTACGCCCCGCAGACAGCTTGGCAGCGACAGCCTTGGAGGGGGGCCACCCGAGAGTTTGGTGTTTCCTCCCAGGCGGCCCCGGGAAGGCTCTGCCCCGCGAGGAGCACCGCTGGGACCCGGAGCCGTTGACCTGTGCGTTTCCAGACGCCTTTCTGCCCCCGTCAGTTTTAGGGTACAGATGTTAGGACCCATAACTTGTAAGCTTGTTCTCCGAGCGCAGGCAGATAAGCTGCTCTGAGGTGAAATTGAGGACGGGTGACTCCTGCCTGCCAGGGGTCGGTGGAGCAACCTCTGCACCCCCGGTGTCGTCTTTGTATCGAGGAACCGAAGCTTGCTCAGCAGCCCCCGAGTGCTGTGTCTTCAGGTCGTCTTCGTGACAAGTGAGCTGAGCCTTAGCCTAGACTCCCGTTTGCAGCGGCTTCCTCTTCACTTCTGGCCTCAATCCCGGCACCTCGGCTTCATGGCTGCTGCCTTCCCATGGCGCCTGTGCTCACGGGGCCAGGGACGCCCCGGTCACCAGTGCTTCCCGCGTCTCGGGCCGGGCCTGTCCTGCCAGCCACGAGCAGGCGTTCTGGTTCTTAGGGCCAAACCAGTGAGATGGGACAGCTTCCAGAGTGGTCTGCTCTGCTGTCGAAACCCACGCCCTTTTGTAAGATGAAGGGTGAAAACCAGGGATGGGACGTGTACTAAGTTCGCATTTGGCTAATCATAATGCTTTTACCAAGCCACGTGGATCCTTGATCAGTTCAACATTTAGCTACAATGGAACATTATGAATTACTTGAGCCCGGGGATTCCTGTGGCTTTTCATGGAGTCTTAGAGCTTTTTTTTTTTTTTTTGGTACCGGGGAATCGAACTCCGGAACTTGCACTTATGAGGCAGGCACCGGAACCACTGCGCTAAATCCCCGGCCCATAGCTTTATTAATAAAGAACTCAGTGCCAGGCATGGCTCCTCCATATGACCCTTGATGCCGGCTGTGGTGCTTTGTCTGCGGCACCTGCCCAGCTGGATTTCTCTTCATTGGCTCCTTGTTATACTGGCCTCAGAATTATTTTCTAGCTTTCTTTATTTTTGTTTTTAATGGTCAGGTTGCTTGTAGGAGTAGTGATTTGGTTCATTAGTCAAGTTTTTGTTTTTTGTACCAGGGATCGAACTCGGGACCTTGCGCTTGTGAGGCAGGTGCAACACCACTGAGCTACATCCTTGGCCCAGGATTTTATTTTTAAGTTGTGATCACAATGTAAATTCCTGGCTTTAATTTCTAAAAACCAAAAACAGCCCAGATTGTGCTCTTTTTTAAAATCTCTATCATTAAAAGCACCTGCAGACAGCTGTACCTTCTGCTTGCAACAGGAAGGGAAGCAGTGAGGGACTGACAGTGCCCCTGGCAAATGTTTCGGTCCAAACATCCTGCGGGTCTGCCCGGGGCGCTGGTCTCCCGCACCGCTGGCCTCCCTTCCAGAAAGCACCCCGGTCAGTTTTCTGAGGTTCATGCTCTTCATACTTGTAGCCTTTTATTTATTATCATGCTAATCAATTTGCAGCTACCATCCAGAGGTATGTTTTCTTGATGTTAAAAAAAAAAATGGGGTTGGGTATAGGCCTGTAACCTCAGCACTCAGGAGGCTGAGGCAGGAGGGTGGCTACAAGTTCGAGGCCAGCCTGGACTACATAGTGAGTTCAAGGTCCGTCTGAGCTATGTAGCAAAACTGCCTCAAAAAAAACAAGATGTGGAATCTGACTATGGTTTAAATGATTTGCTTTGTTTGGAAGTTGGAATAGGAAGCAAGTGGCCATCTTTTCTCTTAATAGGAGAAGTCCCTAAAAGCCGGAGCGTGACTCCAGGTGGGGCTCTGTGGTAAAGCACGTATCTCACATGTGCCAGGCACTGGATGGATTTGATCTCTGCCATCACCAAAACCAAAACCAACGGATTCCAAAACATCTTTGCAGATGAAATTTAGTTCACGCCAAGCATCTGACATTGTCCCAAGAAAACAAAAGGTAGTGTGGCAGCTGCTGAATCTGTTCAAGAATGATAATTACGCTTGAGAAACCAATCAGAGAAGGTGAATATTTTGCACTTTTGATACTCTTTAGAACAAATAACTTATTTGGCAAGTTGTATCTTTTTTATGTTTGGAGATTTGTTTGTTTGTTTCCTGGGGGGGGCTGTTTTGTTTTCTTGTATTGTGAACAGGCACTGAAGCTGATGTTATTTGTTTTAAGATTACAGACTGGAATCCAAATAAACTATTTTAATGTGTGACTGCTGTCGGGTAGCTCTTACATTATAAGCTAAAGATTTGATCACAGATACATTATGGACAAAATCAAATTTACACGTAACTCTGCAAGGGCTCGGGGTCAGCACAGTCCTAACCAAGAATTCTGGGAACTGTCGCCCTAGACAGTGCCTCAATTTAAAGAGCAGATAAATGTGGTAGGAATTGTCCAGGAATCCCAGGACTCTGGGAGGCTGAGGCAGAAGGGTCACAAGTTCAGGCCCAAGCCCAATCTGGGCGATCTAACAATTTCCTAAGACTCTGTCATACAAAATTTAAAAGGGGCAGGGATGTAACTCAGAGGCACTGGGTGTAATCCCCAGTACCACAAAAAGAAAAGTAGCTCCTGCAAACCTGAGTCTCCTAGGGAGATGGTGAGGGGTTTCATCGAGGGTTCAGCCATGTGGTGCAGAGCAGGAGATGTTTTGGGCCTTTCCCAGGCACCCTCCTAGGACCGGTATGTATTTTCTTTCTAACTTTCACTTATATTTACAATGGTTCTAAAACCAAGATACAGCCCTTATGCTCCTCAAGAAGGAACTGTATTTTAAAAGAAGATTCTGTAGCAGCATGGAAAATCTACACAGTGCTATTCCGTAAAGATTTTTAAATTTCATTGCTCCCAAGTTTTAGATGACCTTGGATGAATTCTCCATCCTCTCCCACTGTGTCCTCCACCCTCTTTCATCAGAGGAAAAACTCAAAAGCGGTATCAGAGCTTAACTTCCTGTGTCCACTCAAACTCCTGGATAACGGGTGGCTGTTGGGGTTAGAGTTTTGAATGTCTTTATTTTACAGCCCCAGGACACTTCCAACAGACAGCTGTAGTGGCAGATTCATACTCAAGACTGACGGCTGGGCGTGGTGCGCATGCCTATAATCCCAGCACTCGGGAGGCTGAGGCTGGAGGATCTCTGTGAGTTGAGACCAGCATGGGCTACATAGTGAGTTCCAGGTCAGTCTCAACTACATAGTGAGACCCGGTCTCAAAATACAAAACAACAACAACAAGAATCAAGACTGTGACTCAGAAATTCTGGTGATTGGCCGGCGAGGCAGGCTGTGGGAGGCTCAGGCAGTCATCACCCTGGGGAGCACACACAGCATCTCGAACAGCAGGTTGGCCGCCAGGAGGGCCGTGTTTCCTGCAGGGAAGAGAGTGAGCCCGAGTGAGGGACTGAGCGCCATACACCCACGGCCTCCCCTGCCCACCTCTGCCCTCTGAGGGCGTCCGCCATGGGTACGTGACCTGCCCTTCAGCCTCTGTCACTGGAAACGGTACTGCGGGTTCACAGGTCTTTGGTTCCACTTCGGGTTCTCCCCACCACAAGAAAACCTGCTAACGCTGTGCTCTGAAGTAATAGCCCTAAGACTGTGAGTATTTTTCAATTAAAATTACTGAGGCGACCTGGGCATGGCGGTGCACACCTGTCATCCCAGCGCTCGGGGAGGCTGAAGCAGGAGGACTGCAAGTTCAAGCCCAATCTGGGCAATTTAGTGACTTACAGAGACCCCGCCTACATTTTTTTTTTTTTTTTTTTTTTTTGTACCGGGGATGAAGCTCGGGTCCTTGCGCTTGTGAGGCGGGCTGTAGAACCACTGAGCTACATCCCCAGCCCCTTGTCTAAAATGTTAAAAAGTCTGAGGATGTAGCTCAGTGTGAAGGCCCTGGGTTCAATCCCTAGTACAAAATAATAATAATAATAATAAAAAATCTAGATGACATTTGCTCCTAAGATTTTGTTGTTTTCCTTGGGCACTGAGGAATGAACCCAGGGCCTTGCCACTGAGCTGCCCGGACCCTCTCTGTGGAGCCAGCCTTTCACTCTGCACAGGCTGCCCTTGAGTTTCCTCAGCCTGCAGATTACTGAGATCACCAGCATGCGCCACTGCACCTGGCTAAACATTCACTTTTCGCTCAGACACCAGAGGGGGACGGCATCACCCCACCTTGTCACTAGGCCTCGGCTTCCGCTAATGATACCGCGCTCGTCGGGGGTTAATCAGCTGCTGATCGGGAGGTGTGTGGTAAGTTTGATCTTCACTGCTAGGCCTACCCGGCAGCGTCCCGAACTGTATCATGTTCGACTTAGTAACCAGGTCAGCGCAGTTAAACTAGCACCTTCCTCACCAGAAACGTCATACTGCGGGGAAACTTCCACAAGGTCTCCTCCCACCACGTTCAGGCCTTGACAGCCCCGGATGATCTCGAGAGCCTGCCACGATGGAAACAGGTGGTCCACAGTGCTGATCACTCAGGGTGCGGTACGACGGCAGAGGCAGGGGCTGCACACCCCAGCCACCAGGCAGACACCGGCAGCCGGGCTCAGGGTGTCGGGGTGTGAGGAGAAGAGCAAACGCGTGGGCAGTGAATGAAGGGCGCCATCTGGCTACAGAGGAACCAGAAGCAGGCGGACCACCCAAGGGACTCTCGAATCCCAAAGATACAAGAGCCCTGCCGAAACCACTGCCCCTCCCTTCAGTGTTCCAGCCCAGGGTCAGCCCAAGAGTAGTTAAAACCTGGGTGCTCTACTGATAAAATCCTATCCTGGCTGAGCAGGATGGTTCACCCCTGTGATCCCAGCACTCAGGAGGCTGAGGCAGGAGGATAGCTTCAAGTCTGAGGCCAGCCTGAGCTACATCGTTCAAAACCAACCTGACCTGCACAGCACCTTGTCTCAAAAAGCAAACAAAACACAAAACAAAAATTCCTGTTTCAACTCTTAAACACTCACTACAAGTCCTAGGAAAGGTGCTAGGTATCCACCCCAGGAATCCGCTGGGGGAGCCTCCTTACCTGGCTTGGGGCGAGACCAGCGATCTCAGGGGTCCCTGTCCCCGGGGCATAGGCGGGGTCCAAGGCATCGATGTCGAAGCTGATGTACAGGGGCTTGCCTCCCAGGTGCTGCCGGACCTCTGCCATCAGCGGCACCAGGGACTTGAACCAGCATTCTTCAGCCAGGACCACTCGGAAGCCCTGGGCGGAGGAGTCCCAGAGCTGGTGGTCAAGGCCAGCTGCACACAAGCTCTCCCAGCGCCCTTCACCGCGCACCCGCAGCCTCCCGGGAGGAACTGCTGCCCCTGTTTTACAGGCGAGGTGGGGAGCCAGGCCAAAGCCATTCCGAGCTGGCACCGGGCACAGCGTGGCATAGAGGCAGAGACCCCGAGGGCTGGCTGGTTCTCCCCGGCCAGCAACAGTGTCCCCTCGGAGGCAAGCGGCTCCCTGTCCCCACTTCTGAGCTTGGTTAGCATCGCGGCCACAGGGAGCACCGGGAAGGCGCCCTGGGGAGAGGGAGCTCAGCCTGTCACCTGGCTCCGGCTGTAGCGGTGGGGATCCAAGGTGGCCGCAGAGCCCCGAACGCCGATCTGCACCACCCGCCTGCAGTCCAGGAGCCCCTCATCCACGGCGCGGCGGAAGGGCGAGCCGTGATAGAGCTTCTGCCCCAGGGCCTTGTCGGCCGTGTCTGTGTGCGCGTCCACGTGCAGCAGCCCCACGGGGCCATGCCTGTGACAAGAGGCGGCTCAGAGAGGAGGGTGGGCCACCGCCACACCGGAGTCATCCTTTCTCCCCCTGTGGCACCGACAGGAAATGTTTTCCCTCTCACAGTAGGGAACTCAACCCAGGGTCTTCACCCTGAGCTTCACCCCCAGCCTTTTCTTTCTTTTTTTTTTGAGATAAGATCTTACTAAGTTGCCCAGGCTGGGCTCAAACCCCGATCCGCTTGCCTCGTCTTCCCAGACTCCTGGGATTGGAAGTGTGTGTCATCACGCTTGGTTCCAGCAGTAAGCTTGGGTATGGTGGTGGTGGTGGGTGTTTGTTTGTTTTTGTTTGGTTTTTTTTGAGACAGGGTCTCACTATGGAGTTCAGGCTGGCCTTGAACTCACTATGTAGCCCAGGTTAGCCTTTAAACTCACAGCGATCCTCCTGCCTCAGCCTCCCAAGTGCTAGGATTGCAGATGTGCGCCACCATGCCTGGCTTCCAACAGCAAGCTTTGACCCAGCTCCTCTCCAACACCTCCATCAGCCCTTGCCGGGCACCCAGGCACAGTCACACATTCGGGTCCCCTTCCATGGGAGGCAAGTACAGCTTAGAGATAAGACCCGTACCCCGCCAACATCCAGCCTGAATGCTACCCAATCTGGAGCCTCAGCCCGACTGTCTTTCTCCAGCTGAGTTAGCCAAAGATCATTGCCTGCTGGACTCTACTACTGAAAAATCAGTCTTCCTGTGGTCGGGGAAAGGGATCCGTCACAGAAAACAGGATTTCTCCAGCCGAGTGTGGTGGTGCATGCCTGTAAACCCCAGCACTCAGGAGGCTGAGGCAGGAGGGTTGCAACCTTGAGGGCAACCTGGGCTACATAGTCAGGCACCATCTCAAAAAAACAAAAAAAAAAAACATGCTGCGTGTGCCCTGCCTATGCCTTTGAAGCCACAAAGAAACTGGAGCTAACCAGAAGGGGTTCTGAGTTTCACTAGGGCTCATCTTCCCGGGCAGCTTGAAAACGCTGAGTACACACACCCGCAGAGGTCTGCACAGCAGGGGCGGGGCTGATCACAAATGTTTTTATCTTCCAACTGGTGACTGACAGATACCTGGAGCTCAGCCTTAATTTTGACCCGCAGAAGCGACTCCATTAGGAGTTTCCTGTCATCCCCTAATAACCGGGGAGCTGCAGCCACCACCCAGAGCAACCTAGCAGCAGATACCCTGTCCTGAGTCCAGGATTCTGAAACCTCGCTTGGCCAAGCCATTCGAGACTTACTTTTCTGCCATTGCTTGCAATATGGGATATGTGATTGTGTGATCTCCACCTGCAAAGGTAAAAAGGAAAAATACATCTGAGATGTGGATAAGATTATCACATGGAAATCAGGTACGTCCCCACCATTCAGGAGGCTGAGACAGGAAGATCCCTTCAGTCTAGGAGTTTGAGGCCAAGCTGGGTGACAACATAGCCCCTGTTTCAAAAAAAAAAAAGAAAAGGAAAGAAAAAAAGGAAATTCAACAAATGAAAGCTTACCAGCAAATGCCCTGAACAGCTCTATCCAATGCAACCTCTGTGATGATGGACATGTTCTATATGGGCCAATATAGTAGCTAAGGAATTGACTATTTTTTTGGTACCAGGGATCGAACTCAAGACCTTGTGCTTGCGAGGCAGGTGGTGAAACCACTGAGCTAAATCCCTGGCCCAGGAATTGACTATTTTATTTTTATTGATTGAATGTGTGGCTAGTGGCTACCCTGTTCAAAAGAACAAGCCTAGGGCCAGGGGTTTAGCTCAGTCGTGGTGCGCCTGCCTCACAAGCGCAAGGTCCTAAATTCAATCCCCGGTACCAAAAAGACTAAATAAATAAAAGAGCAAGCCTAGAAAAGTATTATTATTGATATGTATTAATACCAATAGCTAATGTTTGTTGGAGTTTAAAATATTCCAAGTACAATGCTGGGTATTTCATATGCATGTTCTTTGGTTTGTTTCTTTGTTTTCTGAGACAGGGTCTCACTATGTAGTTCAAGCTGGTCTGGAACTCGCTATGTAGCCCAGACTGGCCTCGAACCTGCGGTGATCCTCCTGCCTCAGCCTCCTGAGTGTTGTGCCACCACGCCTGGTTTGAATTTTCAATCTTGCTTCAGCCTCCCTCAGAGCTGGGATTCCAGAAGTGCCCACGGTGCCCGAAGTTCCCTTACTTTTTGCACTCGGTAGACGCCTTTCTCCCTTACACTAGTACACCAGCCCTCTCAGTGCTGTTATCCCTGGGACTGAATGAACTAGAACTTTCTCTGCCGTCCTCATGTGGGACCCACGACGGAACCGTAGCGCAGGTTACCCATGGTCAGAGGAACGCAGCCGGCAGCCACAATCTTCTGGAAGGCCTCTCGGACCCGCCTGCAGCTGTCCTGGAGGTCGTAGAGATTGACGTTCACATCGCCCAGGTCGGCCACAGCAAGAGCCTGGAAGGGGAGAGCCCCTGTGCTAGGGTTGGCGGCTCGCAGCATCGCTGACTCCTCCCGGATGCGGCGGGGTCCGAACCTGGGGAGCAGGAGGGGGCTGGTGACAGGGTGACCCCTGCAGAGGGCGAAGAGCCGGGCCCAGGCCGACACTTCCGGTCCTGCCGAGGGCTCGCCCTGGACCTGCCGCTCTGCGCAGAGCCTCCTGCCCCAAGCTGGGACACCCCGATCCCCTGGGGTGCAGAGAGCTTAACTTTAACTGTCTTTTCTCAGGGCTGGCATGGAACCCAGGGCTTGCCACACTTTGCAAGTGCCCTACCGAGTCCAAGGCTATTATTGAAAAGATTGAAAAAAGAAAAGATGGAGGGCTCAGACTCAGAAGCCCATTCACCACCGACTTATTAAATGGCACTAGATAATTTAATTTTCGTGTGTGTGTGTGTGTGTGTGTGTGTGTGTGTGTGTGTGTGTGTGTTTTGAGACAGGGTC